TTTACTGGTTTCTGAAAACCGCTTTTTGATATCTTTAACGGTGTAGTTTATAGCGAATAAGAGACTGTGCAGAGAAAGAGAGAAATAGAAGGAGAAAAATCATTTGCTTAGGGAAGAGGGGATTACTCAGTTACTTGGCCGTTCAGTAGACTGCGAAAAATTAATGATCACTGCTTCTTGAGCTGTTGGCAGGCAAAGCATTTTGTTTGTCGATTGTTTAGTATCGCTTCGGCGAGTGTGCGGCAAAGTGCAGGAGAAGGGTGGTTGAAAGCGGTATCTTCCAGAGGCTTTTCTCTGTCCTTGTCTCTCCTCTCCATCACCGTAGCCTCATTTCAGCCGGGCGCATTTTCCGTGTCGACCCACTGCTCTCACTTCCTTCACCGTGCGCACTCCTTGGCCTCCGCACGACGGCACTCTAATTCTCCTGTTTGTTCTTGTTACTGTTGGCGAGTGGCACGGCAACAGGTAACTTGTTGCTGTCCCGTTTATTTGGTCGTTGGACGGCGTTTGCGAATCGGCGATGAGGGCACACTGAAGACAGCAACCCGTCGCCGGCAGAAGCACACCTGACCGACCGACCTCTATTCCTTCTCTTCTCTATTTCACATGACTCGATTGTAGTCAAGCGTCGTCGGCGACGGGGAGATTGCCATCGTCTTACCTTCGCGCCATTCATTCGGACCGACTGGCTTTTGCTGCCAGTGTTTTTGCCCGACTCTAAGCGCCACTTTAAATAGCCTTGCTCTATTTTAGAGTTTGTGTGTGTATGTGTGTATGTGAGTGTGTTCGTCTACCGACTGTGATTGCCACAAGTCCGTCTCATCTTTCACCACTAGCTGCTGTGAGCTGTCATTGAATAACGGCACCCCGAAAACGAACATCTTTGTTTTGTACATTTCTGTCCACATGTCCTCGAAAACCAACAAATGTTTTGTGTATCATCACCAATATTCTCGATGAAGCACACGAGTCCGCCTCTCGTCGACTTTAGCCATCAGTATAGCAGCAATGCCTGACCTTTTGCCTGGGCAAGGCTTCCATTCGGTGTCTACACTAGAGTCAATCCAACTGCACAACAGCAAGATTGCCCATGTTCAGTATGCGAATCAAGCAAATCAGTCCTCTTTTTTGGATGAAACCATTTATTCACAGCATCCAAATCACCGGCCGCCGTTTTCTGCACACAATGCCGAGTATGGTCACCTGAGTCCACTTGATAGAAATGGATTCAGAGGCGACTATTCCTCTCATCGGCCATCTCAGTACTCTGCAGTGCCAATCAGCGAAAGGAACACATTCCCATCATTTGAGTTGGCGTCACCCGTTTCTTTGTCATCTTCTGATTCGACCTCGTCAGCGTCTTTGTCGCCTCCAAACTCGGCTAGTTTTCATCATGAATTATCAGAGTTGGGCGTTTCACTATCCAAATTGGCATTGCATGCTGAAGGAGCGCCAATTATCGTGTGCGAAGATGGGGGGCCTAATTTAGGAAGAAACGTGAATTCACCATTTAATAATGGCCATAACACAGCCAGCAGCTCTCGATCACACTCTCGTCGTAAATCTTATCGCTTGTTGCACACACTGCCAGCGCCTGGTGGAGGACCGTTTCTGTTCTCTGATGTAGATCCGTACACCTGCTTTTCGGCGACAAGCTTGTCTACTGCGTACCACCGCTATCAGCAAAATGTTGCCTACTTTTACCAGCACTATCCATCGCTGTATCAGCAGGCATCGGCTGGTCCACACGATTCAGTAACCCCCTCATCGCACCAGGCTGCTCAACTAACGGGCCAAATGTTGTTTCACCATCATCATGTCCACCATGTACACTATCATCACCACCTGCACTCAAAGCAGCAGCAGCAACAACTACAAGACTGGCAGGAGACAGGCTTTGAAGCTGAGCCCACCGTACTGATAGGCAAAAGTGCTTTTCAATCTGCCCAGGATGATTGTACATGTGACGATACCAGTCCCAGCGGTGGCAAACTGGGGCTGTCAACAGCTGCTAGTGGTGCTGCAGCTTCTGCCCATGAATTTAGCCATCCGTTTTCCTATGAGCAGACTGCCCATCTACTAAAGGGTAATGATTTGGTCTTTCACCAGGCCATTTCGCTCACTTCCAATGACTCTGCGTCTGGTCGTCATTTTCGGCCTATTGGCAGAGAAGCGGCGGTGGAGGCTGGTAAATCTGCTTTGCTCCTGACTGGCAATCAGAGCCCCCTTGACCAGGCCGACTCTTTCCGTTCCAAAGGCAGACTGTTGCGTGATTTAATCGACGAGACGAGCTCTCTAGACAGTAGTCTTGAGGATGCCCCCCACTCTGTCTACTCGTCTCTATCCTCTTCATCGTGTTCTTCATCCACTTCTTCAGAGCCAAATATGATTCCTTCTCGTGATTGCTATTGTGATGTGCGCCCAGAGGTGGTCAACCTGCAACGCTCCGTTCGGGCCATCTCTGCACCCAAGTTTTCACCAATGTGTTCGTCGTTGACTGTAGACGAGTCATCCAGCTCATCTTCAATGCCTTCTTCTCCTTCTTCGTTTACTTCCAATTCCCCTTTGTTTTGTGAAAACCACCTAGGTGATTTGCTGCCCGCAAGTTTACTCCCAGCTCCAAATGTCGTTGATTCCAGTGCACAGTGTGTAGACTATTCCCCAAACATGAAACTGCCTCGTCCAATCAAATCACGAAAACGAAGAAAAAAGGACAAACCTATTGCGGTTATTCGACGAATTGCTGCTGCTCCCAGTGCTGCCTCTTGTTCCTTTGATATCGTCTCAGCTAACCATTTTTGCCAAGATTCATCACCAAAGGAATTTAAGTGTTCAACAACTGAACGTAATTATATTTGAATATTGTTCCTTTAAGGAGGGAGGAGGTGTTCAGGTTAGACACGCTCGACTGAGATCTTATCACAGTTGACCAGCGCATAAAGCGTCCACAGTTGTGCGGTTCTCCGCGTGCCGACTTGACTCAATTTGCACCGGTTTCAGTGACCATTGTTCTATTGTTTGAAAGCACTAATTGTTTCGGATGAGTGCGTCTCGGCAGCAAAACTGCGCCTAATGTTCCGGTAAATTGTGTCGACGGTATCTTTGCTGCTCAAGCATTGCGACTGTTGCATTGAATCTGCCTAATCGACGGTAATTAACAGCTTTATTGTGCTCAGTATCGCCTATTGCCTTGCTCTTCTTTCACATGCTGATGACATTTGTCTGATTCTTTCCGATCCACATGTTGTAGTATGCTTATTGCTTACTGGGAATCAAGTGATCATCGCAAACTGGGCCATACATGGTGCTTACCTCTCTCTCTCTCTCTCTCTCCTTCTCCATTGCCTGAGGATGTTTACTGCTGCGCGACAACAAAACCCGTTCTGCTTGGGCGCACCAATGTTCTTTGCCCCTTTATTGCTCCTCTTTATTTCTTGTGCTCCCATTCGTTTGTGTGATCAATTTTTCTCTTTTCTTACAATTGTCAATGATTCGTGTCATCGCCTGGGCAACCTGTGTCCATTCTCGGCAATCACGACTGTGGCAGTCATTCCCCCTCTTCTCTCCCCCGTTCTCTGACCGCCTTTGTTGGCTAATTATAGCATCACAGCGCCAATGGCCTGAATGGCCTATGAATTGATTTGCGCGTCTTTATTCTCAACGACGCATGGGAGACGACTACTCTTTAGGTTTATCAATTATTTGGCCAGGCTGTCATTTAGGACTTGGGTCAAACTTTTGCTGCTTTCATGGTCACGGACGATTTCGCTCTCAAGGTGCATAATTGTTAGAATTTTAAGACCGCTTTCAAACTGAAGGCGCTTCTTACAGTCATTTTGAACCTGTTTTAGTCTGTCACTCTATAAATAGCACCCCTGAACTGTACTGCCGTTTAATTAGTGTTTACAAAAAATGGGCTACTTTTCGCAAACTAGATTTAGCTTCAGTGTACCATTATTAACCATTGTTTATTGTTTTTGCAAAATTTTTATTTTTTTTGTTTACAGTAACCACTTCAACGCCTCCTCAACGGCCATGGATTCCCCTTGCAAAACCAACTGAATCAAACATCTCCAACGTTTTTACCGTCATGTGCTATAACGTTCTCTGCGACAAGTATGCTACGCGCCAGCTGTACGGCTACTGTCCCAACTGGGCGCTATCCTGGGACTATCGCCGCAATGCCATAATGCAGGAGATCAAGAACTTTGATGCCGACATAATTTCACTTCAAGAAGTGGAGACGGAGCAGTTTTACAACTATTTTCAGCCACAACTTGCAAATGTCGGCTACGAGGGCATCTTTTCGCCAAAATCACGAGCAAAGACAATGACCGAATCCGAGCGGCGCCATGTAGACGGCTGTGCTATATTTTTCAAAACGGACAAGTAAGTTTAACTTTAAATAGTAAAAAATTATTTTAGTATACTAAAATTTACTTTCAGATTCAGCCTGGTCAAGGAGCACCTAATTGAATTTAATCAACTGGCAATGGCCAATGCCGAAGGCTCTGATGATATGCTGAATCGAGTTATGACAAAAGATAACATTAGCTTGGTTGCTCTACTCCAGACAAAAGACAGCGGCAATGCAGGTATGAAGTGTCAGGTGCTTTGGTTTTATGCGCTTTCTCACTGCTTTACTCATTTTTTTCAGACAATCTTGCAGAACCTTCAATGGCTGCAGGCCAACCACTGGTCGTCTGCACTGCACACATTCACTGGGATCCAGAATATTGTGATGTCAAGTTGATTCAGACGATGATGCTTATGCATGAACTTAAAAGCTTTGTTGATGAGGCTGCCACTTTGTTTCGGCTGAATGCTGGTGGCAACAAGGCTGATTCCAACTCGATTCCACTTATCATGTGTTGTGATCTCAATTCGTTGCCTGACTCTGGTGTAGTGGAGTATCTATCGAATGGTCGAATCGCCGTTGAACATCCTGACTTTAAGGAAATCGCATACAAGGACTGTCTTCGCAAGCTGTCGCCTATTGTGTCGGATAGCTCAAAGAGCAACTCAAACGAGTACACTCATGCTTTTGAGCTAATTAAAGCTTACAAGGACGACGTTATGCCATTTACTAATTACACGTATGTTTGTGTTGTTTTCGAAGTTTGGTTTTATTTTAACTCTTTTCGACCTTTAGGTATGATTTTAAAGGGGTAATTGATTACATCTTTTGCTCAAAAACAAACATGTCAGTACTGGGCGTTTTGGGACCTTTGGACACAAATTGGCTTCGCGAAAACAAAATTGCTGGATGTCCGCACCAGTATATACCCTCGGATCATTTTCCTCTTATCGTTGAGATAGAGATGATCCCCAAAATTCTTTCTCCGGGCATGGTTTCTCAAATCTCTTCAAATTCCGGTTCTAATTCTGGTGCAGCTAATGGACATTTGATTAGACGACCCATTTGAAATTTCTAGGCCATTAAACTTATTTTTAATATTAAATTCCTGTTTTTCTTTAATTAAAAAACTCCTGTTCTACAACACATTTTTCCTTGACAGACACCACTGCATGTTTTATCGGACTTGGAAATTCAATTCTTTTTTATCTTCTTTGTTTTGTACATTTTGTCATTACACTCTTTTACTCTTTTCATGCAATTTAAGTTTTGCTCCATTTGTACTACTGAATGTAATGAGTGCACCTTTTAAACTTTGCTGTTTTGCAGCGTCATGAAATTAAAGATGGTCATAAATATTAATTATTCAAGATAATTTCTAAATAAAATACCACTAGTGTCCAAGTGGTTGCTACTTTCAGTGAACGTCGGTACTAGTTTTTGTCTAAATAATTTGTTTTTAATTTAAAAAACATTAAATAAAGTTAAGTAGAAATGAAATTGATATACAAAGAAATAATGGTAAAGATGTGAGGATGAAGGAAGAAAATATTTGGCATATAGACGCACTAGCCATTAAGTGGATCTGACTCATCTCTCCTTCTCTTCAGTCGAACCTGTTCACTCGGACCGTTGTCCTTCTTTCGGAGGAACAGAATGGCACCAGCAATGACGACGAGGACGACTACAAGAATGACCACGCCCACTAAGCTCCAGGTGGCCGTTTGGTATGACTTGTACTCCTCAATGGGAAAGTACGGCGGGAAGATTTTGCTCTTCTCAATTAGTTGAGCTAAAAAGTCGTTGAGAAAGTCAAAGTAATCCGTTCGATAGCCACGACCAAACTGCGCCACTACATTGGTCGTTTGTGTGCTAGGAAAACGGATGCTGACGTAGTTGGGCGTTTGCGGAGTGTACCGGAGAAAGTTCTTGCTCGCAGTGCCGAGAAGCACAAATTGCGCCAGAAATGAGCTGTAACTTCGGTAGAGGGTAAACTCATTTCCAGTCAGCGGGGTCAGGTCGTACTCATTGAGCCAACTGTACCACAAATCATTGTTGTGCGTCGCACCGTAGTTGTCGCGTGACACCGAAGGAGCTCCGATCTGTAGGGTGCCAAAAGACTTGCTGCCCGTGTAGTCAAACACCAACATGATCACCTCGGCGCCGGAAGCGGCGTGCAGCTTGGCCGCATTGTCCATCGGTGCAAGGTAGAGGTAGTCGCCCAGCATCTGTAAAGAACAAAACAGGCAATTTAGCAAAAGTACTGTTGTTGACAGCCATGGTTTTTTACCTGAGAAAAAATTTGATTCGACTGCAGTTCATTGTAGCCCGAAACAGTGCCGTACTGAACTCCACTGCCCGTGTTGCTGCCGCCGTACTGGTTGAGGTGGCCAAAGGTGTTGTACGCATTGTTCTGACTGATGGCAGACTGCTGGGAGTAGGGATTCGATGCGCCGGAGAAGAGATTGCCTGTCCCACTGGCTGAGTAGGCTCGATGGGTTCGATTAAAGTACTTGAAGGAAAAGGCGGCAGCAATGGCATCTTCATTGGTGTAGTGCTTCAGGTACGGTCTAATTAGAAAAGCAATTTTGGCGTCTAGCTCTTGAAAGCTCTTCACACGTTCTGATTGAAGGTAAAACTCTAGACTGCCTTCATTGGAAGTGCCTGCCACCAGGTATGGCACGCGATTGTTTTTTCCCGCCTGGTACAGTTGTTGGGGAAAATCGGCGAGCAGCGCAGACGTAGTGACGTTCTTGTCGACCACTGCTCGGAACCAAAATGGATTGCGGTTACTGTTTACGTCAACCGAGTCGAGCGTCGTCTGAATGAGTGAATTGGCGTCAGCGTATCGAAGACACTCCACTAGTTTGTCCGTTTGGTAGGGACAACCAAAACGGTAGCCGAAATCACGAGCCTGTTGCACTGGCACATCTTCAAAAGCCCATGGGCTAAAGACGGTGCCGCTGATAGAGACAGCTGACCGGAAGTACTCTGCAAGTAAAGATGAGCATTATGAATGTAAAATATACACAAAGAATACACTTACTGGCAGCATCCTGATTCAGGAGGTGCATGCCTACGGAAACTCCACCGGCATCGTGACCCATTATGGTCACCTGATTGGGGTTGCCTTGAAACAGGCCAATATTCTGATTTATCCACTGCAGTGAAAGCAACTGGTCGCGAATTCCATTGTTTCCAGGCTGGTTAACGTCGTCGGTCGAAAGGAAACCAAAAACTCCCAGTCTAGATTCAAATAAGTGTTGTAATGATAAAAGAACTCTAACTAGCTAATATTATTACCTGTAGTTGACCGTGACGACAATCATCTCCTGACCATTGGCCATGATGGAATCGTAGAGATAGTCGGGTTTGAACAGATCCTTGCCGCCGTATTTAAATTCCCCTCCATGGAAGTATACGAGCACTGGGTACGTGGCCGATGGTCGATCCTGTTGTAGTGTTGAAGTGGGGGAGGAAAAGGGAAGGAAAAGACAAACAATAGCTTGAGCAAACAGTGACACATAGCAGTGCGGAAATGTAAACTTTGTTGGTGTGCAGTGACCACACTAAACAGGCACACAAAACGCACAGGTAAGCAAATGGTATGCGTTACTAAGCAAATCGTATTGACAAAACATTTGCTAGTTACGAGCTAATTATTGCTTTTAACAAATTCATTAAAGTGTAATGCTTTTTCTTACCACTGGAACGTAAATATTCAGATGTAGGCAATCTTCGCTTTCGTCTATTTGCACTTGAGATTTAATTTCAAATCGTCTGCCAGTTTGCCGGCACATTACTCGACGAGGAGGACAGTCAACTGTGCCCAAGATTGGCTTCGGCGGCTGTTTGATTTACAGTTTTAACAATGAATTTTTTAATAATATTTAGTTTAAAGTTACTCACTCTGAAGCGATCAATGCCCACAGGAGGTGTCGCGTAGGGAATTCCGGTGAAAGCAAGTATTTTGTAGCGCTGAGGTGTTCCGGTGGCAAGCGTATACTCTTCACCGGACACTGTACAGTAACTCAGTGCAACCTTTGGATTGGTGATGCTAATTCGACCCCCAACCGAACCAAGCTGAGCAAACACGTTGTGGTGGGCCAGCAGGATAACAATCACTGCCAGGCTGAACAGTGAAACGGGAAAAAAGCCCATTTTACAGCAGAATTTGTGGCGCATTTGCCTAAAAACGAGCTGGAATGGCACAGTTCACAATGGTTAACAAACAGCACAATGAACAAAGTGACAAGAGTAGTTGCTGATGTCGTTTGTCGGCTAGGCAGTGCAACAAAATGGACAGCGCTCGGGAGTGGCCAGACTTTATATGAGCCGCAACTGTTTTTCTGGTCACTAGGCTGGTGACTGATGTGACTGGGCGACGAGCCAGAAACGACGACGCCGGCTGCAAGTTTCTAACGGTGTCACGCTGCAGCGGATAAAGGCAACCTGGCAATGGCGCAAATGTGTAGACAAAGTGAACACCGCTGCACATGTCGGCAAAAGTGTCAATTGCCCAGTGTTGCTGCTGCTGCTGATGCTGATGCTGATGCCCCTCTCTCGCACCTCATCGACAGCCGGGGCTGCTAGACAGTCATTAGGTAGGCAGTGAATCTTTCTGGACGGCAATCTCAGTATAGCAAACACACAATTTACGCACACATTTACACTCTTTCTCTTTTACCGTCTATGCAATCTCAGAGGAAAGATGTAACCAGGCAAGATGCATGCACTCACTTTGATGGCACCGTCGGAAGAGTACTTAAAGTAGAGCAATCACTGGGCAATTAAAACGGTGTGTTGTAGTACAAACAAAACGATTAGCCGCGGTAGTGTCAATCTTAATAACTCTCTGGTGTCTTGCATGGCAAGTGGGTAAACACATTTCTTGTAAGAACAACTACGTTTTTGTTCTGCCATTTTTTATAGTTGAAGGGTTTTTCTAAAGTTTTTTTGTTTATTCCTGACAACTCTGGAACTGCTCAGAAGAGTGAGAGTGTACATCTGGAAAATGTAGATAAATAACAGTAACTTACAAAGTTATATTTTTTGTATCTAATAGCTGCTCCTTCAATTTTTAAACTGCAAAAAACCTTCAACTTCGACTTATTCACTGATAAAAGCTGGAATCTTCTTTGTGTCTTTGTGACACTGTCCTTTATTAAAAGGAGCATAATTACATAAACCTTGTCTTTAGAAAACATATACACAGAGAAGCAACAAGTGACTAAAACTTGAAAATTGAATTGTGTGTGAACGGAGGAAAAGCTATAAACATATTTTTGCAAACATTCAACACCAAAAACAAATCACATGCACTGAGAGTGCAGAGCGCTTATTTGCAAAGCCAATAACTGCGAAGGCAATGGTCAACATGACAGCCTTATTAACCTGATGGAGCTGCCGTTGTGGTTGCATTCGCCATTTCAGTCGAGTTTGAAGCTCCTGAAACAGTTGTACTACCACCACTACTCATTGTTTCAGTTGAATTGGAGCTTGAACTCATTGTGGTCATGTCGCTGCTGCCAGAACTTGTCGTCGCAGCTGAAGAGTCAGTGGAGTTACCAGCTGTACTCATGTCTGACCCAGTCATTCCCTCGGTTGTGCTCTCTTCACCTCCACTTGCACTGCACTCACCACTTGAGCATGTCTGCAAAAAGGAAATATTTGCTATAGTAAAAGTGTATAAAAATCAAAGTTCAAAACTTGCGCCATTGCTTCCTCCCGCTGAGCAGGTAGTTCCGTCGGCCATTTTTGTCATGTACACCCTGCCAACGAGGACCGAACGCGTTCGAATGTCTTGGCCGAACAGAATTGAGAACTGCGTCAGCGACTGAACTTGGCAGATAACTTGACAGGTATTGTTGCCGTTGAGCTGTAAAGTAATTAGTTTAATAAATGAAAGTTTTATAAACGAACTGAGTGAAAAACAATTCAAATACCGCTACAGCGCCCACGTAGACGATGAATTGTGATTGAACCCACTGTGCGATTTGGTCATCATCCATGACGTTTGGAGAAGAGGTTGAGTTGCCAGAAGAGGTTGAATTGCCTGAAGATGAAGAACCATTTGACGACGACTGCACTTCATCAAGACAAGCTTGGTCGTAGATGGTCATTGCAAATGTGGGCATAGAACTGCTGTTCGAAGAGCTATTTGATGACGCCTGCTCGGAATCAGGAGGAATTGTGACCATAGAGGGTAAAGTCATCTGACTACAGACTAAATGTGCTATATCAATTTAAAATTAGTACACTTTGCTTATGCAAAAACTAAAAATTTTTTAGACAAACCAGAAATGTAAAAAGTAATGAAAAGTGTGAGCTGTATGATGTGAGACATTGTTGGTAAAACGCTACGGGTCCCGATTTATGATTCTGATGATAAATATATTAGATGCCAAGATAATTTTTGGCCACTGACAGAAATTCGTATGAAACACTACTGTCACAAAAAAAATAGAAAACCACAACCCGATTGGCCAATTTCAAACAGCTTTATATATACTCAAATAAACCCAGAGGACGTCGGTGTATTAATATAAAACCTAATGACGACCAAAAGTGAAGATGGTGATTTATCACCACACAAAGCTAACCACAAATGCAACACCTAGCAAAAATAAATTGGCTACTAAGGATGACGCCGGCAATTTGAATGCTCTTGCAATAGTGATTTTGTGGCATCTTCAACAGCTTCCCTTTTCCCGAACCATAGAGAAAGTGTCAATTCACAGCAAGTTAATTCAAGGTAGCCTTGCACTTGGCCAATTGATTTCGCCACCCAATGGATCTCGAGTGTAAGGGACAAAAACCACGAGCAAGCCAGATATTCAGCTGATTCTGTTTTTCACCTAGTCACCGTCGATGTCACCACCACAGGAGCAACAAAAGTATCTGAAAAGTTACATTGATAGTGGCAAAATATAGCAAAACTTTGATAAACAGGGTGTCAGCTAAAAAAGGTGCAATCTGTCAAAACTGTTTGAACACTCAGTTTTCACTTTATCCTGCGTCGATGGCAGTGAGTTGTCCAGTCATTCAGTCGTCGACTAGTTTGGGACGTCGAAAAGTCCCCTGTTACGCATAGCCTATGTGGTGTTATGCGAACAATGCTTTTCAGCATTAACGGTTACATGAACAACGTTCAGAGAAAAGTGAAAATGAGTATGATATAACAAATAAAGTTAACCAGTGCACAATAAACAACAGGTTGATAGACTGATAAATCAATTATAATGTCATTAATTGCCTTGTCAGTGCAGTGAATGGTGTCAAGTTAGGAACATTGCTGTTTGTAGTTGAGGGATCAATTGAAGTTCAAACACATACATGCAAAAATGAACAATACGCTGATCAACATTAAAATTTATTCATTAGGTAAAAACTGATATCCCTACAACCCTTAAAATCTTGTTAAAATAAATCCAACAACAAATTATAAAAAGTAGATTTAGAAATAAACTTGACCCTTAGATGCCAATTAAGATTACATTACAGTTTATAAAAAACTCAACTACAGGCAAAACTCACACTGTTGATAAAAACTGTCCTGCGGTGTTTTTCANAAAATCTGCTATCAATTAATTTTGAGTTCGGTAGCTGAAACAGTATAGCAACAACTTGGATGACTCACAAAGAATCAATGAAATGATTTTTTACTTTTGTTTGTAATACTAAAACAATAAAAAACAGAGTGCAATGGACGACGTGAATGTGCTCAGATCTGTGCAATCTTTGCTGTTATTAGCGACAATCAAAAGTTCGTTTCAATATTCACACTAGTCACCCCGTGACGCAGTATGATTGGCATTCTTTATAATTTGTTACAATACATACAACCAAATTGAATTACTGTATGCACCACAATATTGAATTACATGCATTTTGCCCATTTTTATAAAAGTATATAACTTTTCTTCAGAGATAGCTTTAGAGTTACTAAATTGGTCTTAATTTTTTAATTTCCTATTAAGTTAAAAAATGCTGTTATTGAATGTATTTTTCTTTTTATAAAGAAATTCAAAATACCATTTTAAATAGAATGGTTAAAACTTACATTGACACTAAGTAGAACATCCTGTATACTGAATACTTTAAATAAATTACTTTAAATAGTTTTACAAAAACAATTTACAAAAAATGTGTATTAATTAAATTGTAAAAAATCAATTCGGCTTAAAGTTTTGGGTTAATTCTGCTTTCAAAAGTTCTGCCGAATGGGTAGTTCCATGAGGACCGTTAATTTGAATTACACCAACACCACCTCCAAGTCGCCTATTTAAAATTAAATAATTAAAATTGAATAAACTTTGGTTTTTGACTCTAAACTTTGGCTCTAAAATCATTACCTATAGTTCATTCCATTACCGCAAAGGCTCCAAGAATTTGCTTCATTGTCGTAGACCTCGACGGTTTTCAGGTAAGTTTGTCCGTCAAAACCTGGTTAAAATATTCATTTAAATTAAATAGTTTGTCGTTGTTAATTTTCAATCAATACCTCCGACAGCGTAGAGTTTTCCGTTTACTACCGCCAGACCCACGCCTGATCTTTTACTCTGCATTGCCACTATGGGCTGCCACTCATTTGTCTGTGGATTATACCGCTCGGCTGAAGACAGCTCCGTAGTGTCATCCCTCCCTCCCACGACGTAGATCATGTTGTTGTACACAGCACTGCCTAAATGTTTTCTTCTAGTCCACATAGGGGCCATTGGACTCCACCTATAAGCAGCATTGGGCGTCAGTCAAAATTTTTGGTCAAAAATCGTTAGGCAAAAATCCCCTCACCTGTTTGTTCTTGGGTCATACCGCTCCACTGTGTGATTAGAGCATCATTAGAGAGATCGTATTACTATGTATAAAAGAATTCAATTTAAAATTACCAGTGTTGAGTGGAGAGCTTCCATCACTACCGCCAATTGCATACAGGTAGCCATTGAGAACTGAAACGGCGACGCCCAAACGGCGAGTTGTCATTGGCGCCTGTTTAACAAAACGTTTTAAAGTTTTAAAAATTAGATTGTTTTACCAGTTAAAACATGAAAATTATACCAATTTAATCCATCGATTTGTCTGAACCTCGTAGCGTTCAACAATGTTCAAACAAGACACACCATCTTGCCTAAAAATAACAAATATTTAACAATTGTTTTAAATGTAATTTAACAATTTACCCTCCACAAGCGTAGAGAAAACCATCGAGTACACCAACGCCGACAGAAGTGCGTGAAGTTGATGTAGGTGCCACAGAAGTAGACCACTCATTCATATGCGGATCATAGCTAATAAAGAATGTAAATGTTAACAAATTGAATTTAACAAATCAAGGTAAACTAACCGTTCAACGCTGTTCAAATAACTCTGACCATCATGTCTGAGAATAAAAGTTATTATAATAAAAGTATAGTACCAAAAAAATAGTAACATGCCCTCCAATAGCGAAAAGTAAATCATTAATCACAGCACATCCGACACCGCATCTTCGTTTAGTCATTGGCGCCACCATTCTCCACTCTTGTCCATCATATTTTTCCACGCTTGCGATTGCGTCGCCTGATAATTATAAAAATGAATTAGTTTTTATAGATTTCCAAATGGACAAGCCACCTAGTCATCATCATGAAAACCGATGAGCAGATTGCTTCTCCTGGTTAATTCACTGTACCTGAGCACCATCCACCAACTGCAAAGAGAACTTCGCCTCTTCGTACTGGCTTACGTGGCCTAAACCTGGGCCCGACCATAAAGGTTCGTTCTTGAGGTAAAAGAAGATAGTTCTTTGCTTCATCAACTAAATCGCGGCAAAGCTCATCGTTTTTTATCAAAATGTCCGAGCTGACAGTACCAACAAGAAATTTAGCCGACAATTGAGATAGCCGAACATGCTGAAGAACATGTGAAAGATGCTGTCTACGCTCGGCGACGTTGTAGCGAGTCCACTTCATAATTGCCTGATAAACCTGTTCTTCAGAGCTAATATTCAGTTCATCACTGCTGATTATGTCAATAAGTTGATTCACTGGAAGCAAAATAAATTCTTCATTTTCGATTATTTCATGAAAATGGTCCTGTGTGAACTTGTCGGCAAAATCAAGTAAATCTTTGCAGGCATGTGTGTCAGCAAAAGAGCGAATGCCAAGACAATTAGAGGGGTCAAGTTCTTGTTTGAGAAATTCACAGCACACTTCTTGAATTTCAGTCATTTGTAGAAGACAAGCAGCCGGAAGAAGAACCTGAACGTTTGATTCCTCGATGATAATGCGAGAGCTGTAGGCAAAGTCAATGAGTAGTTCCATTGCCTGCTCATCAATATCACGAATGTGTACTTCAGCCTGACGAGATTCTACTAGTTCGCCAGTAAACATTGCTAAAAATAAAAAAAATTGCATTTTATAATTTATTCATTCAAACAAACTCGGATTTTGTGTACTTACCTAAAAAGTATGGACTATATGCAGCTAATATTACCCTGTGAGCGTAGATCTTCTTGGAGTTTACTAACAAGACAATATCGCAAAGTTCTTTTCTCTTTCTAAGGATACTTAACGAATCTAAAAGTAAGCATGAGTGCTTTTTGGAGCTATACAAATATCGCTTGGAAGGAGATGCTGCCACTGAAGTGGCCGTCGGTGAAGGAGATGGTGAACTGGTGATTTCTTTAAAAGTGATAGAATTCGATTGACAGATGGACGGTGTTGATGAAGATGGTGTAAATGGAGATTGAGGATTAAGCTGTGAACCGCCAATGCTTGCCACAGTGAAGGATGGTGGTGCAAAGGCAGAAGACGCCGAAGCCCTGGAGGACCCTGGTGGAACATTGGGAGCAGCTCCGGAATTACTGCCTCCAGAATGGGCAACTGGAAGCAAAGGAGAATTATCCATCACCGTTGGAAATTAGTTGGTCATTCTTTAGAGAATGTAAGTGAGATCAGGAGAAGAGATTTTACAAGATGAAAAATAAATAGAGATGAGACAGACTCAAATATTTTAAAAACAAAAAAAATATTCTTGTGCTCGTTCGGAGACGACGTTACCACATTTTCGAAAAAGCGCTGAAATATTAGCATTTTTGCTCCGGTGGATTCAAATTTACTTTTCAGGCAACTTTATTATTTTTTTATTATCTTTCTGTTGATTAAACTTAAAATTTAATAAAATTTAGTTTTATAAAGTATTTAGCTTTTTGTTTATTCATAAAGTGTGGTTAAAGTTAGACTGCAAGTTTAAAC